GGCACTTGATATTGCAATAGTATTCTAGAAATTATGAATGATAGCGTCACTCATGTACAACAACGACAGTCCCAGTCATGTGGTCTTCAATCCTACAGTGCCATTCGTCACGTGACCTGCAAAGATAGATGACAGAGATCAAGCAGAAAGGGTATGAAAATCGAAAAGCGTCATTACTGACGAACAACCATCAATACAAAATTACCGACTAACCGCTGCATTTATCCGTATCCTTCTATTCCAGTTTAGTTTTACAGGCACTAATCGAGCATCTCGTTTTTGCATCTTTCGTGGAGTGAAACGTGACGTTCAAGAACACTAGGAAGGACGAATAAGTTACCAGGACACGTGACTAATGCGTAAAGTAAGAAGAGCACGGTTTACGACAACCGATGAAAATGAATCCGTTTCCCTACCCCAGGTCGATAGTCAGGCTCTATCAATACGGCTCGGTCTAACGATGTAAGCTTGCATGTTTTCCCATCAGATCTTGCTACCGCGGATTATCACTGAATCAACCGTAGATAACATGCATCAATTTGCATATCACTCCGCGTGCTCCCCATTTGATGCCGTTGTTTATCTTGTCCACTGAATGCTTTCAGCTCTGAACAGGAAGTCTAAGACTGCCAGAGTGGTGTTCTTAAACAAAAACCATTTTGATCAATCGGTATTGCTCGACCTTCTCATTGAAATTAGTGTCAATCTAAACGTCAGCAGATTGATTCAAGATCATTACATAAATCGAAGAAGAGGATTTTCTGAGTAAAACACTGCTAAACAATGGTTACCCAGAAAGGTTCGTAGATATTTGCCATAGACTACTCCCAGAAGGTAACCCAACCGAAAACGTTAGCAAAAAGGCCGTGTACTTAACGCTTGCTTTCAAAGGTGACCACAATCACTAAGATGTGCGTCACAAATTGAGGTCAGCTCTAGACCGTGCGTTCCCAGCTGCTCAGCTCGGACGCATTGCCTTTACTAGTGGAACTGCTCTGACCAAACGTAAACATGGCTGACAAACTGGTTGTCTCACACACTGTATTTCATGCAGCTGCGGTGACGCGTATAGAAACAGAATCAGCCGTCAATTATCACAACGGACTGCCGAACATGTTCCAAAGCGTTTGGTGAGATCGATGATGCAACGGATAATTTACGGATCAAAGAACACAATCTATGCTTGCTCACACAGGATGGCAGTGGAACTGTATCCAGCTCGATCGTTGCTCATCTGGTAGAGAAGGGACACCTGGTTGACATGCCCTCGGTATTTACAATTACTTATCGCGTCTCACTACACCCCTTTCGGAAGTTCGCGAGGCGATTAGCATTCAACTCATGAAGCCTAACCTGTACGCACACCAAAAACTGATCACTTGTTCACATGAGCATGACGTAACATAACGAATGCATTTTGGTTACGCACTCCAAATAACGTACCAATTTGGAGTTCTCTCGAGCTCAATACCAAACATATGACTCATCTACCTTTCTGTTTGACCTTATTGAAATTGTTACATATAAATGTGATTTTAAAGACTTGAAAAGGAATTCCTCGAGAACATGTGAACCTACATTTTGGCTTCTTAATCAGTGGACATATTTCGTGTTCCATAACTGATGACCAAGTGATCACAATAAATCCAGGGTCATCTGCTGCAAAACCTCTAACGACAACAGAACACAGTTAACCTCAATTTACTTTTAGAACCACTATTAGGTAATCACAATGCTGTAATTAGTGAAGCGTTGTTTATTTGATTACATCAACCGACAGTGTGCGAACAATCACTTACCGTGGAGGTGACCTTCTATTTCTACATTTAGTAATATTGTTATACTTGTACATGTTCATTCACCATAATTGAACAAATCCATGTGCCGCAAATGCACCTGCTTGTTTTGGGGAGATTAAACAAAATATTAACATCTAACGATATTTGTTTTCCTTCTATAATGACAAAATTGATTGTGAATTCATGTAAAGTGAATAAAAAATAATTTGGTGAGAAACGCGATTATATTTTACATCATACTCGGTACTGGTTCCCGGTCATAATGTACCTCATCAATTTACTTCCATGGGAAATTCGATCTGGAGGAGGAGGATATTGTGGCTGCTGTCGTTAGCAACAGTTTTCAGCAACAATCAAGTCTTAAGAAGAGAACCAAGATCAGATATAATCTGCAAGAGTATTTGTTTTAACGATGATGCGATTCAAAACAGTTACCCATTTGGCTCAGCATGCTGACCGCAAAAAACCGGTGGCAGGCCATAACTGCCACTTGAAACGGTAAAAAAGAACGTTTAAATGGGTTACATTTAATTTTTACTTCCTTTTATTAAATATATAATGATAACATTTTCGGGAAGGGGAAGTGGCTAATCAAACAGCAACCATACAACACACAGATAACAGGGAAATTTAGGCAGTGGTGATGAGCTTCGAACAGACGTCCTCCGAAGCACGGATTTGGGGATCTTTGCCGCTAAGCATCGTCGCCTTGCATAGTGAATCGAATGGAACCCCTGCGGATCAAGTGGATTATTTTCATGCACAAAAAATGTGAGCCATACCATCAGTCAGTCTGTCATATAATATTTGGTACAGATAACCTGTACTCTCTCGAACACAGACCATTGGGCTCCTCATAGCGAGTCTCACTAGACATACAATACTTCTTGCTTTGCGAAACGTTTTCTATCTGATTTATGCCAACCCTAAGTGAATGAACTGTTATACGCTGGATAAGAAGCATTCGATCACAAATGTACGCTCAAAAAACTCCATCGTCTGATCACAGTGTAAAATATACTATAGATTGGCTCATTGATCGAATGCCCAATTAGTTCCGTATGATGTACTAGTTAGTCATAATATTCAAATGATTGTGAGAGGAGGAAAGAAATAGAATGCTTACGGATAAAGCCATACCAGTAAGCTGCCGTATCGTCGTCAAACACTACAGCTAGGATTCCAGTGGGCAAAGACCATAGGTCACTGTGAACTAGTTCAACTTACTAGCAAATGCAAATCATAGTATTCATGCCGGTAGATAGCACATGGTACAAAGTTCATTAGTCAGGAGTAGAGCTCAATCGAGCTGGTGCCGATCAATGTGAGCGTTACTTCATTGTCGGGTATCGGATGAGGCTGATCTCATATTTCCAATAAAACAATTCACTATGAGAATCTGCCTATTGGTTAAGGCATCAGTTTCGAGGGGCTGAAATTAGTCTTGATCGAAAACATTTCTCTCTCACGGTTGTCTTTGAAACTTGTTTGATTTCATTTTCCACACAGAGGCACGACTGAAAAATGAAATCGTCCCGGTCAGCCTATCGGTGTCATTTCCCGTTTTTATCCGGGTAGACACCTGCTAGAAACTGTTCTATGAAATAATGGACCCTCTTCTTACTTTGCTTTTCGTCACTGTACTACCCATAATTTACAGTTCAACACGGTGATCAGGTTCGGGTTTTAATCTTTGACTAATGAAAGAGAATGAGGTGTAAACGCGAACAATTACTTAGGCTACTGAGCTCTGTTTCGCAATTAGTTCTAATAGAAAACAACGAGGTGCGTGGTTCACTATCCCCTATCTACTCATTAGATAGTCTAAAACCGTCAACCAGTTGACAGACACAATGAACGACAACAGACGCATGAACAGACTCGCTGCGCATCAATGGTTGCGTGATCGCATTCACTTGGCCGTGTGCAAGAGAGCGAATAAATGACGACTGGCCATAGTGACCTCAGTTGACGTGGTTAGTGCACTGGGTCTCATTCTCCCTCCCCTCTCGCCCCTATTCCTCAGTCGTTAGAGAGTAGCAGGATTTCGACAGAAATTATATATCTCACTAACGTGAACGGTTGACTGATTTCCGTTCTATCTTTTATGACCAACTACTGGTTCGTACAATGATGCAGTCAAAATCTCAAAATATGAAAACACTGCTTCCGATGCGCACAACTACTCGAGACTGTGATCCCAGCTCCAGAGCCAAACCGTATGAGGGAACGCCAAAATAAATTAGGCGGATTTTCTCGAAGAACAAACAGGATTGCGATGGACGGGCAGAATAGCTACCAAAATGGGACAACAGAGTGGTTGCTGGATTTTATATGACCCATACTACCAATGTGGGTTTGTATGCGTATTGGTGCACACATGAAAGTGTTTTC